ACATCCATAACTTTTAGGCACAGAGCTACCCAGCTTCCAGTAGGGTATGCCAGGCTCTCAAATAAAACAATTTCTGCTATTGACTTAATTCCACTGAAGTGAAAGAAGACACTCAATCTGATAGGTTTAGATAATGGTTTATCCCCCAAAGATTTATGTTTTAGAATTTGATCCAACACTTTCTGCTATTGACTTAATTCCACTGTAGTGAAAGAAGACACTCAATCCTGATGGTTTAAATAATGGTTTATCCCCCAAAGATTCATATTTCAGAATTTCATCCTAGTGGAAGAGTGATTAGCTGTCCTCCAAAAGTCCATGTGTTGGGATTTGGTTTTATTTTAAAAGTGTTAAGTAAAAACTGAATGCCTCATAATGTCCCATGATGGGGCCTTTGGGTGTGATATTTGTTTGGCCATCAAATCTGGCCCCTATGACTAACTTTCGGTGTGTATATAACGAACAAGGCAGAGGTTGCATAGATACGGGCCAGAACAAGGAGAAACTTACGGACAACTGCTCTGTTATGCAGTCCTAAAAGCCACATGGCCAACCAAGGCTTTGGCCCCATGGACCACTTGAGCTGAAATACACTGGATACACAAGCACACAAAGTCTCAAAGAGCTGGAGAACTGGGGGAAGGAGATTGTGGCATGATAAGACCCTCTCAAGGGTGCTCTCTCTCCTTCTCACACTCTTCCTTTTTCTGTCTCTCTCATGTATGGATATGTTGTCTATCAGAAATCAAATTTAAAGTATGTCTTTTTAAAAAGAAAGGAAAGAGAAAAGAAGTAAAGAAAAAAATTGGAAATGTTTTCAGAGATGCTCTGATTTCAATTCATTAAATTAGATGTAAACATTTTCACTAAGATAAATACCACAAGGCACTCAGTGATGGAGATTTTTGATCATGTTAGAGATTAGAAGAGACATTTTTGGTAGTATAGGACTTTGAATAGCCCACTGTGTGTTTGGGGGATGAAAAAGAGTACTGAATACTCACATAGCTCATGTCTTAGTAAAATATATTGCTGACATTATTGAGCTTTTCAACTCCAGCCTGATTTTTCCAATTGATACTAGTTTGTAACATTTTTAACACTATTTTGTATCATTCTTATTTTTAAAGGAAAAATTAAAGATGATTAAAAATAAATAAAATATTTCTTTCATTATGTTAATATGTACGAGAGATAAAATTTCCCTATTTCAACCTTTCCAACATAAAAGGAGTCTTTGTATAGTGTGGTAGAGACCGCAAACGATATGATTATGATGCTATATATGATTTCATATGCAGTGTAGCATTGATCCTCATGCAAAAACGTGAGCTTGGTCTGGCCAGCAGATGCAGTAGTCTATGGATGGACATAGGGCTAGCCCACAGTAGTATAGCTAAAATGTGGCAGAGCTAGGACTTTAGAATTGCTCTTCTGATTTCAGATCTCATGGGCTTATGATGCCGATTGCTTCTCATATCCCTGGAATATCCGAATTTTTAAAAAAAGTTTATATAACATTATTAAACATCATTAATTTCCTCAGGACTCTGTCATAATTATGTCTATTACACATTTTAAGAATGTTAGGGTAGAGAGAATCTCAGAGGTTTGGGGTTATATTCTAGGGCTATCTATAAATCTACATATTTTAAAGCAACTCTAATATCAAAATAACTTCTATTATTCCACTGAAACTTTTGAGAAATAGAATGATAATGCCTCAGAACACCATGGAAATAGTAAAAAAGGAAATTAAAAAGAAGAACCTCTTGGGACCAGCAGATGGAGGAATGGTTACATCGCTGGACTCCCTTGTAGTGGACGGCGGTTCTACTCCCGGATCTGGTGACTTAAACTCTTGTTGGGTGCAGGTGTCTATTGTGGCCAAAATCCCAAGAGGAAAATGGAGGAGAAGGGATTGTGAAGTGGTCATCCCCCCCTTTGGGGGGGTGGGTTGATTTCTCATTTTCTGTCTCTGTCTCTGGTGAGTACAAGCTCCCTATAGTAAAAATATCTTAAAACAAAAACATAAACATAAACCAAAACCAAAAAAAAAAAAATAAACCCAAAAACCTTGCCCAGCATGAGAACTGAGCAGCCCTGAGTTGTAGCTAACCTCCCTGGCTCATAGCTAGAAAGGACAAGGACACTGCTAGGAGACATATACATATGAGGTGTCTTCTAATTTCTGGTACCAACATGAGGGCTGAGCAGCCCAGAGTTGTAGCCTCCCTCTTCCAACTCACCTCCCAAGCCCATAACTACAAAGGTAGGAGAAGAAATTTTTTTCTATATTCTCGGGTATTTTTTCCCCTCTTTTTCATCCTTCTTCTCTTGCCTTTTTAAATCCTTTCTTTTTTAATCCTTTCTTTTGCTAATTCTTTCCTCTCCCTGCATAGGACAGGGGCATTGCAGGGAGACATCTACATCTGAGGTGCTCTGCTCATCTCGCACACTGCATCTATGCAAAGCGCAGTTATTTTTCTTAAATTTTTCTGTCTATTGTCTCTTGTTCTTTTCTTTTTTTTTCCTGTTTTTACTCTCTTTTTCTACAGGCATTTTTATGTACAGGCAATTTTTAGTAGCCAAACCTCTGACTTTTTCTGGGCTTAGAGCTGCCTGTACATAAAAATGCCTGTACACTCACTGTGTAAAAGCTCTTCTATTATTCCACTGAAACTTTTGAGAAATAGAATGATAATGCCTCAGAACACCATGGAAATAGTAAAAAAGGAAATTAAAAAGAAGAACCTCTAGGAACCAGCAGATGGAGGAATGGTTACATCGCTGGACTCCCTTGTAGTGGACAGCGGTTCTACTCCCGAATCTGGTGGCTTAAACTCTTGTTGGGTGCAGGTGTCTATGTGGCCAAAATCCCAAGAGGAAAATGGAGGAGAAGGGATTGTGAAGTGGTCATCCGTCTTTGGGGGGGGGGTTGATTTCTCACTTTCTGTCTCTTTTACTCTGTCTCTCTGGTGAGTACAGACTCCCCATAGTAAAAATATCTTAAAACATAAACATAAACATAAACAAAAACAAAAACAAAAACAAAAAACCCAAAAACCTTGACCAGCATGAGATCTGAGCATCCCTGAGTTGCAGCTAACCTCCCTGGCTCATAGCTAGAAAGGACAAGGGCACTGTTAGGAGACATATACATATGAGGTGTCTTCTAATTTCTGGTACTAACATGAGGGCTGAGCAGCCCCGAGTTGTAGCCTCCCTCTTCCAACTCACCTCCCAAGCCCATAACTACAAAGGTAGGAGAAGAAATTTTTTTCTATATTCTCGGGTATTTTTTCCCCTCTTTTTCATCCTTCTTCTCTTGCCTTTTTAAATCCTTTCTTTTTTAATCCTTTCTTTTGCTAATTCTTTCCTCTCCCTACATAGGACAGGGGCATTGCAGGGAGACATCTACATCTAAGGTGCTCTGCTCATCTCGCGCACTGCATCTATGCAAAGCGCAGTTATTTTTCTTAAATGTTTCTGTCTATTGTCTCTTGTTCTTTTCTTTTTTTTTTCTTCTGTTTTTACTCTCTTTTTCTACAGGCATTTTTATGTACAGGCAATTTTTAGTAGCCAAACCTCTGACTTTTTCTGGGCTTAGAGCTGCCTGTACATAAAAATGCCTGTACACTCACTGTGTAAAAGCTAAGAGACAAAATGATAAAGTAAGATAGGAGAAAAAGAGAGATAAAGATTTCAGAATATTTATAGTGACTAAACTGAGAGAAATGCAAGAGAAGAAGAGAGACAACAAACTCCAGAAGATGCAAGGGAAAAGGGACAATGAGTGGTGGTGGTGAGGAAGTTCTCATTCAATATGAAAGGAGAAATACACACCATAAAGAAGAACCAGACAGCACTGTTAAATATAAAGGTTTTAATACAGGAAGTCAAAACCTTCTCTGAAAGTATTAAAAGCAGATTATACCATGCAGAAGGTAGAATCTCAGATTAGAAGATAAAATCTCTAACCTTGAAAAAAATTACCAAAAAGACTGAAAAAATACCCCCCCATGAGAATAATATACAAGAAATACTAGATACGGGAACCAGCAGTTAGCGTAATGGCTATGTCGCTGGACTCCCACGTAGTCGACCGCGGTTCGTGTCCCGGACCCGGTGGCTTAAAACTCACGCCGGGCGCGTGTGCGTGCGTGCCCAAGATCCCGAGAGGAGAATGGAGGAGAAGGGATTGCGGCGTGACCATCCCCCCTGGGGGGTGATTTCTCGCTTTCTGTCTCTATGTCTCTCTCTGTCTGTCTGGCGAGCGCACGCGCCCTACAGTGAAAATCTCTCCAAAAAAAA